CTATGGAGCGATCTGGATGTACTTCACCAGCACGGAGTGGAGGTACTTGAAAACTGCCTCTTTTCGTCGATGGTGACGCCGTGGCTCCTCAGCTTGCTGATGAGCTACTACAGGCGGAGAGAGAAGTCCTCCACCGACTCACCATCCTTGAACTTGAGGTTGGCGTACTCCTGCTTCAGCAGCTGGGCCGTCGCCTTCTTTGCGCAGTCGGAGCCGACGCGCATCGCTGCAATGGTCTCCCACGCCTCCTTAGCAGGGTTCTTCGCCCCCAACGGCGCCCTGTACTCCGCTGGCACAATAGCGATGATAGCCTCCAACGCTGACATGTCATCTTCTTCGTTGTCGGTGCCCTTGTCAATGACATTCCAGAGCCATCGGACTCTGAGCTTGACCTTCATGGTCACCGCCCACTCGCCATAGTTGGTGCGAGTCAGCGTCGTCCAACTGGTGCCGCTGACCTCCCGCACCGTGCGCACGACGATCTCCTGTCATGGCTGGGCAGCCACAGCAGCGCCGCTGCTGTCGCCCATCTCCGAACCGTCCGTCATCGTCAGCGGTTAGTCCGGCGACGGCGCTTGTACGGCTCCGATACCACTTGTTGGTCCCTCGGCTTCCCTGCACAAGTAAGCAGTAAGCTTACCAGCACACTCACTCACTATGGCTAGAGGTAGAAGAAGATATTGAGAACAACTTTCACACACACAGCACAAGCCCAACGCTGGCCGAAAGCTCTGCTTCTGGATGTGGCAAACTGAACTGAGTTTTTTCATTGTCTTTGGATGGAATATATACAACTCTAGCTGTACCTCTACCAGGTATATGGTTGTTGATAAGTACACCAACTACCTACTCCTAAAGTATATAGTTGTTGGTGAGTACATCAACTACTTACTCCTAAGATATAAGGCTTAGCTCAGCCATCTCTACACTACATGGCTGAAGTAAGCCATTTCTACCTACTGCCTCACTGCAGCGAGTGGTCAGCCGAGTCGACCAGTTTTATCTCCTAAACCAGGAGAGGATAGCTGTGCCGACCAGTCAAGAGAGAGATGGGAGCAGCAGATTATGTCTAACAGGGTGTTAGTGGCAAGCCTTACCCTCGCCTGTGCAATGCGAGGAGACCGCGACTCGAACCCGGGACCTTCCGGTCACAGGCGGTAAGACTCTACCGCTTGCACCAAAGCTAATAGATCTAAGGAAATAATCTGAATGTAAAATGAGAATGCATCAGCTGACAGATACTTTAAATGATGCAGAAGTGCAGCAGTATGTTGCTTTCTCGAAAGTTTACAGTAATTAATTTCAAGAATGGTCAAATTAAAAACCTTATATCACATTTTTAGTAAATAAATTTGTATGAAACACATTTTGTTGCATAATTGTACTTTGTAAATTTATTTGTAGAAAGCAACACACTGTTGGTATAAACGAGCCATGTGTCCATCCGGTTGCTGAATACTCTTAATGAACTTTTAGCGACAGTTATACTGTTTGAGAAACCCTTAATTAGATCTGCCATGTAAATTTGTGGAAAACAAACACCAGACTATTCAAGCACAAGCATATCAACAAGCAAAAGTTGTAAAGTTGTAATATGTGAACACAACTGACCATGGTAGCAGACCAATCATCCATGAGTACCTGCAGTCTTCAACTAAAGCCATGTTTCGAGTACTAAAACAGGACTTAAGTTTACATCTTTAACATATGCATTTGTGGATGTAACACCGTATAGTTGAAGCAAAAGTTCACATTGAAACAAACTGCAACCTAATGACATCTCACACTGCAGTACAAACAAATAAGCTGCAGATAAACCAGTTTACTAGATCAGAAATCTGCTAAATTCCAGCCCTACATAGACCTTCATATAGTGCACAAACCGTGCTCCCGGCTACTCATGTGATTACTCCTAGGAAGCAGAGTTGAAAAATAATTATATATAAAAAAAACTCCCAACATGAACCACTGAAACAGTGTAGCCAAGAGCCCAACAGTACACAGTGAAAGAAGGGCAGTCATTTTCGTTTAAATTAAAACAAAATCTGGACCAAAATAAATTGAATTCAAGCATCAATATAACTATATAAGACAATACAATAACTCCAAAAAAATTTACACGAGTATTAGCAGCAAATTTCCAAGAGATGCCAGACTAGTAGGTCCGAAACTGGCAGGTCACAGCGAAACCACTTCGCTAGTAGTAGTAATAAGATTCTAACTGCGCACTTCACACGCGCAGCTCATAGCATCTAAATCACTCCCACGCGAGGACCGCGTCGAATCGGGACGGAGGCGAGGCAAAATTTGCAGGCGACTGAGCACGGCCGCACGCAAGTGTTGGTATGCGGCTGCATGCCCGTGCCCGCCCCCTCACGGATCAGAAATCAAGTGACGGCCGGGCTTGATAGGTCTGCGATGGGAGCAGCGGAGCGAGGGCGGAGCTTACCGCGTTTTGGCCTGTGGCGACGTCGTGCCGGAATTCGGCGCCGGTGGTCGGCTGATGGGGAGAACTTCCAGGAGGGTCCGGGTGGAGGGAGGATGGAAGCGAGCAACGACTATACGCGTCCCAATCGCGTAACCGTATAGTACACTGAGCCTACGTGTTTATTGGTGAAGTTACGTATTCTTCTTCCCGAAAGGACAGGTGTGCACAGTTCTCTAGAAAGTACTAAACCGAGACTGTAAAATTTAAAATATACTCAGTATATACTACGTATAAAGCACCTTAGTATAGTAGAATAAGTATCGTTTCAACTTTATAGGATTGTAGTATCGTAAGATTTTAGCATGCAGATTAGGATACTGAAAATATTAATCCACATAATATTTTTTTAGGGATTGGCATCAACTTATATTATTTCTATTTTTTCTTATTGTCATTGACATGTGTAAGGTTTCCCTTTCATTTACCAAAAGGTAGAGTAAGAATTGGTAGCATACCAAAAGTTGTAAAGTTGCAGGCCGTTAAAGAGCTTAAACGAATGTTTGCTCTTTATTTGTAACCTGAACATAACAAAATTTTAGTTTGCTCTTTATTTGTAACCTAAATTTTTCTTTAGTTTGCTCTTTATTTGTAACCTAGAATGAACATGTTTGAATCTGTCGTGAAATAAGACAGAACGGAGGAGATTGGGAAGAACAGAGAACGTGTGGATGACCTAGTAAAAGTTACTTGCCTAAGTCAGAACTGTCTATAATTTGAAATGAAGGAAGTAGGAGTATATTCGAGGAGAACAAAAGTGACAATAGGGGAAGGTATAGAATAGGAAACACAGAAAATCAGAAAAGGACAAAGAGGTGTGATGGATTCAAGATTCAAATACAAGGCCCAGAGGCGATGACACCGCGTTCTCTCAAGAGTAGCTGAAACATCAGGACAACCCATGTTTTACTCTCCAGATAAAAGGAAAACATTGGAAAACTCCTAAAATAAATCAAACATTTTGAAACTTATAAAAGTGAACATAAGATTGTGGCTAAGTACCCACAAGGTTACATTAATTTAATTAAAAATTATAAAAGGGATAAACTTGCATCAAATTCTAGGAAATCCCCTCAAACTGTTGCGAAAAAACTATAAACCCTTCCAAGAATTAACTCTGGGTCTTATCTTCTTCTTTCTCTAGATCCGGCCTATCCCAAAACCCCATATACCTTCTCGTTTTCCCTGGCGGGCTGGGCCTTTTTCTCCCCCTCCCTTTCTCCTTCGATAATGCTCGAGCGCGGGCGCCCGGCCTGCTGCAACCACTGCCGAGGCTCGTGCCTTGTGCCCGGACTAGTGCCACCCTCCGCGTCACTTCGTGACATCGAACTCCGCGCTGACATCGAGCTCCGCGTCAACAAGCCTTTTGCAACCGTATGTTTCACGCATTTCAGATGTATATTTCATGTGTTTCATCTTTATATTTCATGTGTTTCATCTAGATGTTACAAAAGGATCTAGTGTTGCATATGTTGCAATACGTACACACGTATATTTCAAGTGTATGTTCCACATGTTTCAGTTGTTTCAGACGTACGTTGCAAATGTATATTCCAAATGTTTCAGCTGTTCCAGACGATGTTGCAGGCGTTTCATCAGGATGTTGCAATGACTATACATATATGTTTTAAGAGTATACTTCATATGTTGCACGGTCGGACGAATGTTGCAAAGGAGATGAGATATTAGGACAGGGAAGGGGCGCGGCGGGGGATGGCGCTGCGGCGAGGGAAGGAGCACGACGCGGCAGGGGGAGGAGCGCGGCGGGCTTGACGCGAGGGCGCAGCCGGGATGGGTTTGAGGCGCGGGATGGGTCGCGTGTGGCCGGACATAGTCGCTGGTGCCAGATGAGTCGCGAGCTGCCGGACGCAATTGCTGGTGCAGGACCTGTGCGAGCGTGGAGACGTCCCATGCGCCGCAGGTGTAGACGACATCGCAGCTGCGTCCATACGGGGGCCAGCGTCCAGGCGCTAGCCCCGCACTCTTTCTCCTTTGGCATGGCCAAGTTTGCAAAGGCCCGCGTCCCTCCTCAGTCCTCACCTTCCTCCCACCGACTTCGCCGCCGCGCACCGATCTCTCGCAACGCTTGCTGCACGCGCTAGGTTACCAGGGCGTCGAGGCTCTGTAGCGCAGGAGGACCTCGTGGTCAACATCGTCGTCATTGGCCATGGTCGCCGAACGAGAGCGCATGGCGGAGTAGTAGGCAGTAGCAGTAACATGGTCAGTCATCGTGTATATCTGCATGGCCACTATAGGCCGACGTCGACCCTAACAATATACCACGTCGTCGATGCATGGATCCCGACTTCCCCGGCGTCTAAAAAAAACAACCGTTTGATGCTAACAGAAAATAAAATGATACGGAGATCTATCGGAGGTCGGTTGCAACACCTCGCCCACCGAAACATTATATTAGTTCGGATTCGGGTACAATTTCCCCGATCGACACCATAGATCAATTGGAGAGAGAAAAAAAAAAGACCTAGCAGCCAGCAGCAGGAGAAAAACCAAAACAATGGCCGATAAGCCGCCGCAGCTTCGACCATGGGGCGGCCGAAAAGGATGCGCGGAACTCACTCTATCCTTCGTCGTCTCGGCCGTGATCTGGCTGTCGCTGGTCACCGGCCTCTATTTCCTGGCCATCTTCCTCGACCGCCAGTTCCCGTCGGAGGACACCGTGTTCACGGTGGCCATCACGGGCGTCACCGGTCTGGAGCTGGACCCGGCGCGGGACGTCGACCCGCCGACGGCGCTCTCCCCGGTGTTCAGCCTCACGTTCCAGATCGACAACACGGGCGACTCGGACTACGACGCGTGCGTCGCGGGCCTCTCGAGGGCCGAGGTCTCGTACGGGGACGCCTTCCTCGCCGCCGGCTCCGTGCCGCCCTTGTGTGCCGGGGAGAAGCGCCGGAGCGACCGCGTGGCGGCCAGGGCGTCGTGCGAGAACGTCGCGGTGCCGCGGTTCCTCAGGGACCAGCTCGCCGCCGAGCTCGCCGCGGGAGACGCGTCGATGGACGTCAAGGTCACCATGCCGACGTACTGTTGGAACGGTTGGTGCGGCGGCGCCGTGCTGTCCTGCAAGCCCAAGATCGGAGGCGGGACGTCTCCGGCCTGTCGTCTAGAACTGGGCTGGTCTAGATTGCCCTCGTTCTTTCAGTATTTTCGGTAAGTTTTTTATTTTTTGCGATATGCGACTAGTCTTTTCTGTAAGTTAGAGTATCTCCAACAAACTATCCATATCTTTCCTAGATGTTAGGAATAGAATTTTTTGTGAAAAACTATTTTAGATGAGGTTTGTTGAGTGTCAAAAAAAAAACACTCGGCAAAAAAAATAAAATATTTTTCCTAGAAAAGAAGGAGAAGAAAAATATGAAAAAAAAACTTTGCCGAGTGCTCAGATCTAGAACACTCGGCAAAGTAATAAAATATTTTTTCTGAAAAAGAATGAGAACAAAAGAAATAAAAAAAACTTTGCCGAGTGCCCGATCTAGGACACTTGGCAAACAAAATAAATATCTTCAACACCCAGCGCCCCCACTCTCCTTCCTCCGCACGCACCCGGCCCCAGCGCTCCTTCCCTTTTCTTCCCCGGCACCCGGCCCCCCTCCCCTCCTCTCCCTCTCTTCCCACCGCCGGCGCCCCTCCTCTCCCTCTCTTCCCACCTTGGTGCCCTCCCCGCCGCCCCTCCTCTCTCTTCCCGGTGGCCGCCCTCCCTCCCTCTCTCTTCCCGTGGCCGGATCGGATCCGCTGCCACCCCTCCTCTCCCTCTCTTCCCGGTGGCGGATCGTGTGCCACTTCCTCCTCTCTCTTCCCCGACGGCGGATCCAGCGCGGCCGCCCCCTCCTCTCCCTCTCTTCCCCGACGGCGGATCCGGTGCGGCCGCCCCCTCCTCTCCCTCTCTTCCCACCGCCGGCGCCCCTCCCCCTCCTCTCCCTCTCTTCCCCGGTGGCAGATACAGCGCAGCCGCCCCCTCCTCTCCCTCTCTTCCCCGGCGGCGGATCCGGCGCGGCCGCCCCCTCCTCTCCCTTTCTTCCCCGGATCCGGCGGCCGCGCCCTCCTCTCCCTCTCTTCCCCGACGTGGCGGGTGGTGGCGTGGTGGTGGTGGGCGGCGGTGGCTCGTGGCGGCGGCCGTGAAGCCGGGGAGCAGAGGCGAGACGCAGGGGAAGGGCGCCGCCGAGGAGACCGACGGCGGCCGGTGGTGGCTTTATTTTATTTTTCGAAAAAAAATGTTTGTGATAGCTTTTTTTATTTTTCAAAAAAAAATTTGCCGACTGTATTTTGGGCACTCGACAAAGTCTTTGCCGAGTGTCCGACAAAAAACACTTGGTAAATTAGCGTTTGCCGATAACCAGTTTACTGAGTGTCGTTTGCCGAGTGTAACACTCGGCAAACCGTTTGCCGAGTGTTTTTGTGGCTTCGCCGAGTGCCCCTGGCACTCGGCAAAGCTCCTGAATCCGGTAGTGTCTCCAGCAGCTTTTCTAAATGGTCATCCAAATATAGCCATCTTCTATTCTGGATTTTTCGCTAGCCAAATATAGAAGACGAAAATGGCTCTCTAGAGTGTGCATGAGATATAGAAAAACCGTTGGAGAGTGAAAAGATATAGAAAACGATTTTTATGCAAATGACTCTCAAAATGATAATCTAGAGAGTGAAATTTAGAAAGTCTCCTAGAGATGCTCTTAGAGGATGACACTACAACAGTTATTTGTGTTCTACTAGTTAGTCCTTGGATTTAAAATGATTATACTATTTATCCCTTATAAATATCATATTCATCCTTGCCTTTTCTTTTAATAAAATAAAATGTTATGTGCCCAAATTATGTTGTGATTCCGGCAGTATTCCAATCCCATCCTCCGGTGAAAAAAACATGTTTTGTTTTAGGAATTTGAGTGCTCCAACATTTCCCAATCTCAAACCCAACGAGAAAAAATTAGCCTCTCTAAATACAACCTCCAACCCCTCGCAGGCGAGGAGGATGAACCTTTTGCTCCCTAATACCTAAGATTTTTGGCTGGAGGTCCAACTGCTGCCATCGAAGAAGCCGATTGCCAAGGTAGCTGTCGGCTACCAACCATTATGGCATTTGTCGATCGTTGAGCAAGACAACCATCAAGCCCGCGCGATGTGGATTACAGAGAAGGGGGAAGAATGTTGTTCGCCAACATGAGCCATCGTGGGCAACCAGCGTCCCCTTTGGCAGTGGCGAGCCACAACAAGGGCGACGGAGGAGAAGTGAGTGAGGCACGGCGTAGTGTGGAGAAGGATAAGGAGAGGGTGTCGATAGAGGAGGCGCCGATGGGCCATGACTGACAAATGGGCCCCATATACGCTAGGGTGGTTATTTTTTTTTTAAAAAGGAATAGGAGAGTTATTTTAGGGTGAGAGTTCTCAGTTTGCTAGATGTAGGAGTGACCTCTTGAATGCTGAAAAGGTTTTTTAAAGCTCCCAGTAACTATTTTATGGGGTGAAGTATTCTCTATCTGCTATAGGTACTCTTATATACTTTCCCAACCCCAAATATAGTTCCATTTGGACTTTGGAACAAGAAATTAAGGTTAGAGATAAAATGTGTAGAGAAGCAAGCTAGGGAAGTATTGACATCTTGTGGGCGTGCTTGTCGAGTCATGTTTTGGAAAACACACCTTAGTAGTGGCATTATTTTAGGCTGTTGATGCGTGTTTGAGGCCATGGCCCTCCGCCATGGCGACCACCAGTAGACCTGCACTCTAATCAGATAGGAATCAGCTCCTTCTAACCCATTAGCGCCGAACGGGACACGCGCAGTCGCAAAAGCCACTGCCCGCGCCACGGTCATGTTCGTCGGCTTCTCGCTTGCCCAGCCACCATGTGCGTCAAGCATGGCGGTTACACTGATCGGTCGATCCCCCCGCCACTACTGGAGGCGCCCTCTTTGCCGAGGGCCCAGGGCACTCGGCAAAGGCCCAAAAGCCCTCGGCAAAGGCTTTACCGAGTACCGCCCTCAGCAAAGAGCTCTCGGAAAAAAATTTAACGGCAAAGAGGCTCTTTGCCGAGGGCCATTTGTCGGGCACTTAGCAAATCCTTTTCCGAGTGCCAACGGCGGCACTCGGCAAAGAAAAGCAGCCGTCAACGGCGCTGCTCCGTTGACGGCGCCTTTGTCGAGTGCCGACAGTTAGGGTACTCGGCAAAGACATTCTTATTTTTTTCAAAAACTCTTTGCCGAGTGCCGCGGCGGCAAGGCACTCGGCAAAGACATTTTTTTTTCAAAAACTCTTTGTCGAGTGCCGCGGCGGCAAGGCACTCGGCAAAGACATTTTTTTTTCAAAAACTCTTTGCCGAGTGCCGCGGTGGCAAAGCACTCGGCAAAGACATTTTTTATTTTTTTTAAAAGCTATTTGGCGAGTGCCTCCCCAGCTTGACACTCGGCAAAGATTTTTTGCTTTTTTTTAAAAAAAATCTTTGCCGAGTGCAATGTCCTGCCACTCGGCAAAGTTTCCCAGCTTTGCCGAGTGCCATGACCAATGCACTCGGCAAATCAATCGAAATTGCAATTTTTTTTTGTTTTTTGCATTCCACTGACACAAACAGTTCAAATATATATCACATGTCACATATATATCACAAACATCACAATAATCACATATATATCACAACGAAACCATTTTCACACATTATATCACAACCACAACTCAAATAACAACATATCGCAACCACAAGTCAAATATCACAATCAGAAGTCACAAATTCACAACCACAGTCCATCAAGTCCAAGCACAAGTCACAACCACAAGTGAAGCTCAAGTCCAAGCACATGACGAAGCACAAATCCTCAAAAAGACGGCCTATGACACGATGGTGAAGCAAAGGCTCCATCATTCGGTGACGCATGAGCGGGGTTATTCGAACCCGCCGACGGAGGCTGCAAAAAGGATAAGAGGTTGCATGTGTGAGATTCATCTAGTAAGTTTCTATGTGAAGCATTGATGTATGTCATAGCTAGTGCAAGCATCTAGTAAGTTTCTATGTCAAGCATCTAGTAAATTGAGAATGTCAAGCATGGTTGTATGTCATAGCTAGTGCAAACATGTAGTAAGTTTCTATGTCAAGCATCTAGTAAGTTTGTATGTCAAGCATCTAGTAAGTTTGTATGTCAAGGAAGCATCTAGTAAGAGTGAACTTTCATACTTACATGAGTGGCTGTAGAAGTAGGCGGTGGAGGAGCTGCCAACAGCAAAGGTACACCCCCTTGCTGGACACTCCGCATGAAGGCCTCCATTTCTTGCATCCTCCTCTCCTGGGCCGCGAACGCTTCCCTCTGGGCCTGCAGCTGCGCGCTCTGAGCCTCGACCACGAGCTTTTGGGCCTGCAGCTCGGCCTGCAATACAAACTTCAACGTTTCAATAATGCAAATGTAACTTAGGTGTGCAAAGATGAACGTACGACGAGTAAAACAGGACATACCTCGAGAACGTCGACCCGCTGCAGTGACGGAGTAAGCCGTGGGCGTATGGGCTGGCTGGAGCTCGTGCTCCGTGCTCGGAGCACGTCGAGAGAGGGAACAGTGGTGGAGTCGATGGCACCGTCTGTAATCCACAGCCGCCCATGCTTCTTGCCTCCTCCTAGCCTCATGATGGTCTCTGCATCAATGGGTTCAGTGCGCACATTGTAATCTTCCCCATGGACCTCCCTCACCTTTGAGGTGTACTCTTGGACCTTAGTGTGCACGGTCGGGTCGGAGTACACCTCGCACGGGGTAGACGGGTCGATGGAGACAGAGGAAAACGCCTTGCCCATGTGGGACATAGCCCACGTAGAGAACTCTGAGACCTCCACGCTCGGGTGTGTAGCCTCCTGCGAGTAAGACGGCAAGATGGTGAGAAATAAGGCAGAACTCAGCATCAAATAAGATAAAAGAAATCACTTACATATGCTTGTTTGTAGGCAGGGAGGCTACGGCTGCCTTGATGGTGAGTAGCACCTCGCCTCGGCAGAGATCTTTGGTCCCATTGCCTCAGCGTGGTTACGAGCGAAGTCGTTGGACAACCACCTATCCACGATCATCTCCCAAAGACACGGTGGGATCGGCACCACCAGGGAATCACCTACAAGTCATCGATTATTTGACATAGAAAAGATAAAATTAAACCGACTTAATCTCAAAAGCGAATCATTATTAATGTTTTC